TGGGTGTGAACCCAGGTCCACCTGTCATTAGGTCCCTTTAAGGGTATGTCATCACACTGTTCTACCACCCTTGTTGACTCTGTTCTCCACAAGAGGCTGGTCTGGTCCTAATGATGCCGAATAAGAACTCCATCTGTGTTCTTGGAACAAAGGGTATGTGTGTCGTGTGTGTCAGAATACTGATTAGCCCAGTGACCACTGTCAAGATTTTTTCTTTCTCCACCCTTCTTCCAGCAGGGTGCAATGGGCCCTTCCTTCTTTTACACACTCTCCATCCTTACACAGGAGGCTTTTCTGGGCCATGCTGGCCTGGGACTATGTTTGTTTTTGTTTAAGATACAGTTTCTCCATGTAACTCAGGCTGGCCTTGAACTCCTGTGGTCCTTCAGCCTCAGCCTTGCTAGTGCCAGGATTCTAGGTATGAGCCACAACACTGTGGCTTTTTGACACACCTCTGCGTTCTACCAGACTGAGCTACATGTGGAAAATTCTACCATGTTGCTCTTTGTTTTTGATGCCCACCCAAGGGGAATGGTATCCAGGAGTTGCAGCGGGGATGTTGGCTTTCTAACTGAGCCAGCACTCCTCACTTAGTGGTGGTTTCAATCCTGGAGAACCATTAGAGCAACATCAACAAAATCCCTGTTTCTAGGTGTATAGGAGACAGTGAAATCAGTCTGTTGGAGGAGAACCAAGTATCAGCATGTTTGGAGCTTCCTGGGTGAGTGTTTTCTGGTTTGCAGACAAAGATGAGTCCCGATGACCAGCCCAGTGTTCTGCATGTCTAAATGCCTGACTTCAAGAAAAGCATGCCACTTTGACACTGAGGTGTGTTCTGGGATATTTGTATACTGTGTGAAGACATATTGCTGTGATTGGTTTAATAAAGAGCTGAATGGCCAATAGCTAGGCAGAAGTTATAGGTGGGATTTCTAGAGAGAGAGAGAGAAAGAGAGAGAGAGAGAGAGAGAGAGAGAGAGATATTATTTTTTAAATGGGTTTATTCAAGTTATAAGACCTAGTGGGACAAGCCTAAGCTAAGGCAGAGTTTCCATAATTAATAAGAAGTCTCTGTGTTCTTATTTGGGGCTGGTGATGGAAAAGAAAGTCATCTACAGAGGTGTGTAAGAAGAGTGGATGCTATGAATGAGAATTCTTGAAGCTGTGTCTGCAGAGACTAACTGATCAGAATTTCAATACTGTGGAGACATTGGAATGCTCAGATCCTGGGGATAATTGTCTTATCTTTAGCTCCTGGGATAGCCATTCCTTGCCCACCTCTAAGTTGGAACTACCATCCTTTGACTAACAGATTAAAAATCCTTGGAATCTATTGGCTTAGCAGACCCACTCACTGGCTTCCAGCAATCCGAAAGCTAAGAATATTACCAGATAGCAACTTGGGTCTTTAGGAAAGCCTCCCCAATCTTGCTGTAACCACCTTGCTGATGTACTCACTAATGTATTTAAAACTTGCCTTGTCTGTGAAACTATAAAACTTCATGAGATTGTTTCCACATTGAAACCTGACACTTGGGGTAACCTAAATCTGTGTTCTCAGGTTGCGGTCATTCAAAATGGCTCCAGAGCAAACTGTCTCTCATTCCCTTCAAGATGGGAGCTCTGGTGTTTGCCTTGACAGTGCTTACTGAAAGTGTGCTGCAGCAGGGGATGTGTACATGTGTGTGCCCAGGGCTGTATGTAAGCATGTGCATGCATGCATGTATGTCTTTGTGCACATGTGTGCACATACTCATCCGCATGGGCAGTTGAGGCACATGGGCTGGGGTTGTCCTTGCAAGAGGGTGAGAGATAGCACAGGCCAGCAACATTATCTTCTGGATTTGGGGACAGCTATTTGTGGTTGTGAGAGCCACCTGGAGAAGAGATTTTTGTACCCCTCAAGCTGTTCTACTCAATGGGTCACCTGCTAATAGTCCAGTAGTGATGACTGTACAAGGCAGAGAGAACACCGTTGTCTGTCAGAGGTAGAGGGATTGCTAAGGCTCACAGGATCTAAAAACCCATGTGTGGTTGCGGGAGGGGGGGTGATGCCTTCTGTCAGTTTTTATGCGAGTGTTTCTTTTTAAGCGCCAACCTTCCTGACTTTGATGTAAGAATAAATTAATTCCAGGGCCCTGACTTGAAATTTCCCGACTCTGCCTGTCTACTGTCTATCCACCCACACAAAAGAGAAACTGCCGAACCTTGTCAGCTTTCAAGGGAGCAGCTTGCATTCCAAGCTCTCCCAGGGAGTCTCTGAAAAGAGCATGTTTTTTTTTTTTTTCAAACCCTTTTTCTTCTTTAGAATTTGCTGGTTTTAACGTAGAGCTGCCTTCTTTAAACACAAATGAAATGCTGCTCTGCTGGGCTGCCCAAAGTTGTTTTTCTTGTATAGCTGGGCATGGTGACATCAGACTTACCCTATTAAAATTTAAAAGGAATCATTTCTAATGACTCCTCATGTAACTACTAAGGTGGCATATCTTATGTTTATATAAAACCTGTGCTTTTGAGGGAATACAAAATATCTGTCAACTTTTGTCTGGTTTACATTCTAAAGGGATAAAGTCTTTAAGAGATGTCCAGTCACTCTGACAATGGTGTTGGCATTCTGCATGTGAGGCAACCAGGAAATGAAGACACACTGTAGGGATTAGCAATAAAAGCTTCCTTGATGATGGGTGAGTGTCTGGACCAGCAAATGAAGGTGATACAGGACCAAGATGAAGACTCTAGGTCTCAGCATCTCTTTTTCTTAACAACTGACCACTCCACTCTTTGGAAGTCAGTATCGGATGCCTTCTTCCCTGCAGGCTCATAGTTCTTATAATACATTCCATATATTCAGTTTTTACCCACTTATTTATTTTACGTGGGGGCTGATCTTACTATGTTGCTTAGGTTGAGCTTGAGCACAGTGCCTACCTAGCACTCTACTGGGAAAACTACCTTCTATTATATGCATCTCAAGGTCCAAACATTAGGGCTCCTGAAAACATCACCTGCCTTCCTTCTTATCTCATTGTGTGTACACACAACATTACACTGGATTATTAATAAGCTTGTATGTGAGTGAAGGAAAGCATAGGATTCCCATTCCCATGTCTTGGGGAAGTTTGAAGAAGTCTCCAATACAGCAGAGCTGCAGTGCCCCAGACCCTTTCCTGTCTAGTAAGGATTTCCACCTGATACAAACCCCTCTAGAAATTGTCCCTGAATTGGAGCCTGAGGAAACCAGAGCTGAAATGCCTTATCTCCGTACTCAGGAGATTTATTAGAATGGCTTACAGGCTGTGGTCCAGCTAGTTGAACAATGGCTGTCTACCAATGGAGAGTCCAAGAATCCAGTGGTTGTTCAGTCCACAAGGCTGGTCTTCAGTATACACAGGAATTCTGAAGAAGTAGCCTCTAATGCCAGTGAAGGAAAGGAGCTGCCAGTGAAAGCCACAGGCAAAGAACAAAAGCTCCCTCCCTTCTTCCATGTGCTCTATATAGGCTTCCACCAGAAGATGTGGGCCACATTAAAGGTGCATCCCCCTGCCTCAAAAGATCCAGATTAAAAGTGGGTTTTCCCACTTTAAATGATTTAATTAAAAAAAAAATTCCTCACAGGTGTGCCCAGCTGCTAGGTTTTAGTCAATTCTAGATATAGCCAAGTAAGCAACTAATAATAGCCATCATCACACACTTCAACAAGGTAATTGAAAATGACTTTTGAGGTATGATTTAGGGGTGCAGCAAGAGACACTGGAAAAGAATTTTGTGCATGTTTATTGCTAGCTCATCTCACAGAACCCTCTGAACTCCTCACCAAGTGTCCTACGTGGCATGTTGGGGTAATTTTGCTGACCAGGCCTAATACAGAGACCTCAGCATGTGGGAGACTGATTGGACCTTTCTTACAACACATGCTCTGGGTTTCACAAGGGTGTGCCCTTTGCTGTGCTGTGGCAGTTTTATTAATTTTTGTTTTGTTTTGTTTTGTGTGGTTGTTACCAATAATAAACTCAGGAAGAACAGAAATCACATTATGTGTTGAAATTTCTCTAAACCCAGAGGATAGAGTTGCTTTGTTTATTTTCTTGGATTAAAGGTCAGCTGTTTCCAGCTCATTACCGAGTAGCCTTGTTTCACAATCACACCAGGGGGTCCTCTGAGATGTGTACATTTATGTTTACATTGGTTCCACCCCCAAAAGCCTTAAGCAAATGTCTGCACTCCTTCCCTCTATCCTGTGACTTGGCAGTGACAGCCCAAATCCAGCATTAATGCAGTTATGTTGATCACTTCTCTCAGGGAGACACTTTGGTGGGAAAGACCAGCATTTATCATCAAGGAGAAATAAATACTACTGATTGAATCTTGAGATCATCTCTAAATACATGTAAACACACACACACACACACACACACACACACACACACACCATCTAAAACACTGATGTTGAACTCAATGTGTAGAGTGAGGTAGATTGTCGTTCAAATAAACACCTCCATCTGTGTGATGATATATGACTTAGCTTTATTCTTTTAAAAGTGATGGCTCTTATGTAAAGAGGTCTAAAGTATAGAGAATGAACACAGCAACATCCAATAAAGCCATGCTTCTAAAACTCAGATGTCTGAGAACTCTTGGGCTGTAACTCTGGTTCAGCAGGTCAGGGATGATGCCGGTTCTTGAACAAAGCGTGAGTAGCAAGGATAGCTTCACACTGAGTCCACACAATGGAAGTTAGGGTGCTACCTAGTGACTTCACAGTCCTGATAGAGCAGAAAGCTGGGAGGAAATTGTCGCCTCACGGAAGTGAATGTGCAACCAACTCACTTTCTCTAGGTACAGAATGAAATGTCCGGCACAAGGTTTTTATTCCTTTCTTTCTCAAGCCTCTACATGAGGAGCTGCTGGAATTGACTGCCACTCTTTTGCCACGAGTCATTCAACAGCCGTGGGACCCTATTTGAGAGATAAGACCACAGCTGATGCCTGAAGCCTCTTACCTGTCGTAGTCTTGGCAAATCTCTCCTACAGCCACCAACGCCTTTAGGTACTCATTGGGCTGGTACGGGTGGATGTAGTGCAGGGAACAGCTGTTCCTGGGGTCTCCATTAGAGGCAGTGAAATCTATAGCTACCTGGAAGGGGCAAAACAGAAGAATAGATGGAGTTAAGTCAAATGCATTGTTTAGAAAACTTTTCTAATCTGGAGAGAGGCATGGCCTCAGACAGAGAAAAATAAGGAGTACACGACATATCTGGCTCATTAGAAAATTGAGAGAAGTTAATTAATTGCTTGTAAAAGTAGTTATTAATTTGACTGAAGGCAGTTCTGCTGTCTTTTGTAGTCCCTTTCTCTTCCTGACCAAGTGGAACTTTAGATTATGGTTGAGAAAGCCCAGTCTCATTGATCCACACATCTTCAGACAGTGAGGGAAAGGCAGAGTATCTGTCTCCAGTTTCACAATCCACTAAGAAAAGGCTTCTGTGTTCCATGGGTAGAACAGCTCCATCTATGAAGGTCAGTCAAGAACCCTTATGGCCAAATTCTGTGTAGAGAATGCTGTCTCCCCGAGAAAGGCATTGTTGTATTTCCGTGAGTGGTCTGTGGCACCGATATGTATTAGAGTGGTTTTTAACACATTGTCTCCAGAAGTAACCCTGTCTTTTATGGTAAAGCATTCTTTCCGTTCATGGGAGACCTCCTGCCTGCTACAAGGAACACACCTGGGTAACTTGTCATTTCAAGTGGGAACTACGGAATGAAAGCCTCTGTCTGATTACCAAATAGTCTTTACTCTTTTAACTTCTGAGTTATTCTGACTCCCAACTCAATTTTTTTTTTTTTTGTTTTGTTTTTTCGAGACAGGGTTTCTCTGTGTAGCTTTGGAGCCTATCCTGGCACTCGCTCTGGAGACTAGGCTGCCCTTGAACTCACAGAGATCCTCCTGCGTCTGCCTCCTGAGTGCTGGGATTAAAGGCGTGTGCCACCAATGCCCGGCAACCAACTCAAATTTTTAAACATTTATATTCTAGGTCAGCATAAAAAGCAATGAGTTTCTTTATGGGATTTTAGTACATAAATGTCATAATATTTTATTATTAATTATCCTTCTTCTGCCCATGCCTTGTGCCCTCCTCCTGGCTGGTTTCATCCTTCCCCCAGACAGCCCCCTCTGCTTGCTTATCATTTTTATCCTATTACCCTCTTTGTCCCCTTATCCCTTAAGATTTATTCTTCCTCTCATGGTCTCTTTTCTAGTTTCATCTCTCTCTCTCTCTCTCTCTCTCTCTCTCTCTTTCGCTCTCTCTCTCTTTCACACACACACAATTTTAAAACTAAATTCCATATGTAAGAGATAACATGATATTTGTCTTTCTAAGTTTGGTTATTTCACTTCATGTAATGATTTCCAGTTTGCATCCCACTAGTGTTATCATTCTGCTTTTCTTTATGGTTGAATAAAAATTCTGTTATGTATCCCATTTTTTTTATCCATTGATCTGTTGGGGGGGGAGCATCTGGCTCTATTGCCAAGTTACTGTAAGTAGGTCAACTATAGATATGGGGTGCAACATCTCTGTGGAATGTTGATTTACAGTTCTTCAGTTATATTCCCAAGAGTGCTGTAGCTTGGTCGTATGGTGGTTCTGCTTTCGGTTTTAGGATGAGCCTCCATACTGGTTTCCATAGTGGCTACACAGGTTTACATTCCCCACCAATAGTGAATAAGGGTCCCTCTCTGCCCACACCCTCATCCACATCTGTTATTTGTTTTCTTTGTGGCCATTGAAATGGAATCTCAAAGCATTTTAAAGATGTTGGATAAAGATGCTGGATAATTTCAAGTGCTTATTGACTTCTTGTATTCATCTTTTCTGTATGTTGTATGACACACGCATGTGGTTGTATATCCATGTGTATCTTGGCCCAAGGGCAACACTGGACACCTTTCTTGATCATTCTGCATCTTATATATTGAGGCAATGTCTTTTGCTAAAGCCAGAGCTTGCTGTTTGGTTAGTCTGGCTAGTTGCTTGCTCTGGGGATTCCATATCTGCCTTCTACACAGTAGGGTCACAGCTACACCCATTTAGATTTTACATAGATACTGGGATCTCAGTTATGGTCCTCACACATGTGAGGACACACTGAGCTATTTCTCCAGCTCCTGACTTTCTTCTCTTGAGAACTATCAAGTTAGTTCATTAGCCCATTTACTTATCAGATGATACAGTCTTTGGCATTTCATTTTTGCAGTTCTTTAGTTTAATCCCTTGTCTGATGTATTGTTGGGAAAGACCATCTTCCCATTTTTTCTAGGTTGTCTCTTCCGTCTGGTGATGGTTTCCTCTGCTGTGCAGAAATCTTTTAATTTCATGTAACTAAACTTGTCAATTCTTGGGCTTAGTTTCTGTGCCACTAGAGTCCTTTTCAGAAAGTTCTTGGCTATGGTTACATCTTGAAGTGTTTTCTCTGTGTTTTCCTCTAGCAGTTTTAAGCTTCAGGTCTCACATTAAGTTCTTTGATCCCTTTGGAATTTATTTTTTGTGTAGGGTAAGTGACAAGTTTTGTTTGTCTGCATGTGGGATCAAGTTGTTCCAGTGCCATTGTTAAAGAGGCTGTCTTCTTTCCAATGGATGTTTTTTGACAGCTCTGTCAAACATTAGGTGACTGTAACAATGTGGGCATATTTCTGGGTCCTCTATTCTCTTTGACTGGCCTACTTGTTTTTTGTTTTGTTGTGTGTGTGCCAGGGCCATGTTGTTGGTGCTGTTTTCCTATCTTAGCTTTGTAGTGTAATTTGAAACCAGTGATTGTGGCTCCTCTAGCATTATTCTTCCAATTAAGGATGGTCACCTTTGGGATGCTTTGTCTTTCCATATGAAGTTTAATATTTTTTCCTACTTCTGTGAGGAAAAAGGCTATTGGGATTTTTATTGCATTGGCTTTATAGAGCTTTGTCTTCCCATTAACCACATTAATTCTGACAATCTATTAGCCTGGGGGGGTATTTCCAAATTCTACTGTCTTCTATTTCTGAGAGCTCTTTCACTCCTTTGTTAGGTTTTTCTTAGTTATTGTACTTATTTTTAGCCTACTATGAATGGTATCCACCCCACCCCTGATTCTTTGTAGTGAAGTATAGAAAAGTTACTGTTTTCTGTGCATTGATTTTTGTATCCTGTTATTTTTCTGAAAGAGTTCACCAGGCCTAAGAGTTTTCTGGTGGAGTACTTAGGGTCTCTAAGCTAAGTACAGGACCATGTCATCTATAAATGGAAAAATTTGTCTTCCCTTCCTATTTGTATCCCCTTCATTGATTTTTCTTGTCTTATTGCTCCAGTTAAGGTTTTGAGCACTGTATTAAAGAAGAGTAGGCATCCTGTCTCTAAAAGAAATGGTCTCAGTTTTTAATCCATTTATTATAATATTGGTTAAAGGTTTGCTTTATAATAGCCTTCATTATGTGGAATTATATTCTTTCCATTCCTAGTTTCTCAGTACTTTTATCATTAAGGGATGCTGGGTTTGTCAAGGCTTTTTGGCATTGAGTTGATTATGTGATTTCTACCCTCTAGTCTATTCATTTTCTGAAATCATTCACACTTACTGATTTGTGCTTGTCAAACCAGCATTGTTTCCCTGGCTTGGAACCAGCTTGGTCATTGTGTGTGCTCTTCTTAATGTGCTCTTGGGTTTATTTGTCAAAAAATTTTGAGAACTTTTGCAGCAATATTCATCAGGGTAGTTATATGTAGTTGATTTCCTGTGAGCATGTCCAGTGTGGCATCAGGATGATACTGGCCTTTTAGAATGAGTTGGTAGTGACCTTTGCCTGCTCTTTCAGAGAACCATTTGAGAAGCATTTGTTTTGGCTCTCCTTTAGAGAGCTTGTAGAGTCTGGCAGTGAATCCTATCTGGTCCTGGGCTTTTCTTTGTTGAGAGATCTTTCTATGACTTCTTCTGTGCTGTTTATGGATCTCTTAGAACTGGGATTACAGATGGTTGTGAGCCACCAGGTAAGTGCTCAGAACTGAACCCAGGTCCCCTGGAAGAAAAGCCAGTTTTCTTAACCACCGAGCCACCCTTCTAGCCATGAAAGAAAGGGCCAACTTTTTGATGGAGTTGCTGTATTGATCTTTATCAAATACTTCTTAACAACAAACAATAGCAATGAATACTTAAAGCCAAGGTTGTTAAAATGAGAAGAAACATCTCAGATTTGCAACAGCACCACCACCAAAATAATCCATCCAGCAAAGATCTCTCAAAGACTGTTTAGCTTAGGGTGGGGCAGGGACAAAATAGAAGTCATCGGAGAGAGTGAAATGTTCATGTTGCATTATCTTTTCTTTCTGTCCACACTATAATAGAATGTGCTCCCTGGTTTCCTAACAACAAGAAAGCTCTGTTTTTCTCATATGATCTTGGGGACTATGAGAAAAGAATTGTTTGTGTTTTATTTGGAAAATTCTATTACAACCAATGACCAAGTTGCTCCCTGGGCTTAAAAATGGGGCATTCTGGAAGGAAAAAAGCAATAATTAAAGAGTAATGTTGGATACATATATATATATATATATATATATATATATATTACTTTTCCTGAAGTTATAATCCTGTAATCAATCAAAATAAAAATAAGCCAATTGTAATTTATTCAGAACTTTTCTTTCTTTTATGAAGCTATTTCCCCCATTTCTTCCTTACCTCTCTACAGAACTTAGTTAAAAATTAATTTAGGAAGGATTCAATGTAATTTTTAGAATACCTGTTCATTTTTGACAAGTTATATCTACTGACGAAAGTAGAAAGTGTGTGATAAGGAAGATCCTGGAAAGGGAACTTACCATACCAAGGCATCCTGACTTGAACAATCATGAAAAGAGAGGAATAACTTCTGGTAAAACTTTTCTCTGTACAAACAGCTCTATTGGCATTGTTCCCTTCCATGGAACTATAAGGTAGAAATGGTTTGTTTCTTTATTGCTTCTTTATTAATAACCATGATGTTGAAGGTCACATAGTGAGAGACCAAAACCAAGGCTATTTTAGAAAAGAGGGTCAGAAACAGAATATGGGATCTTCACCTCAAAACCTGTGCAGACTGGCTCACAATACCCACCCAGTTCC